ACGTGGAACATTCAGGAGGTAAGAATCATTGGAACGTAGACAGTACAGGCTCTTGGTTCTCTGAAGGAGGGAGCACAGATAGACAGGAACCAAACCAAGAAGAGCTTTGTACACCATCAGCATCCAGTGCGTGTACCTCCTCACGGCCAGTGATGGCCACTGGGCTTTAGCATAAAGTTCACAATGATGTGTGAGTCGACTACATCCCGTCACGTGCCTCAAAGCACTGCGAATGCAGACACTGAGCTGATGCAGACATATAAATAACATCACCATAATCAATTAAGGGTAAAAAAGTGGCAGAAACAAATCGTTTTCGGGCTCTAAGGGTGAAACATGATTTGTTCCTGTAATAAAATCCTAGCTTAACTCTTAATTTTCTGACCAGAGCTGCAATGTGCATTTTAAAAGATAGTCCAGAGTCAATAACAAATCCCAGATACTTGAAACTATCCACACACTCAATCGGTTTACCCTGAGTAGTGAACATTCCAGGAATACACCCCTTTCTTTCTGTTTGATTTGAAAAGATCATTAGTTTTGTTATTTTAGCAATCAAAACTACTTTCAAGGAGTGCAGACGAGGTTGTACAAAATTAAAAGCATTTTGTAGTTTCTCATATGCCTCTGTTAAAGATGTGGAGCAACAGTAAATAACGGTATCGTCTGCATAAAAGATGGTAAGACGCATTTGGACATAAATTAAGAACAACAGAGGGCCTAAAACTGAACCCTGTGGTACCCCCTTAAACACTTCTAAAGAGGAGGAAGTTGACCCAGACACTTGAACGTACTGTGACCTGTTTGACAGGGAGTCAGTAAACTACTCAGCTGCTTGGACAGAGACGCCAATTTTGGAAAGAGTTTTTATCAATGACCTATGGTCCACAGGCAGCACAGTATTTTTTGCAGTCAAGGGCACTTACGTCATTGAAAACTTTCATGGTGGCTGTAACAGTGCTGTGCGTCCTGAATTCCGATTTAAATTAATTAACAATGTATTTGTTTTCAAGGAAGGATCTCAACTGATTGCAAACAGCACTTTCAAATATTTTAGCTTAGAGTTGTGTGGTCCTCTTGTTTTTTGTTTATAGTTTTATTTTTAAATTGGATAACTGGTGTAATATATATATATCAATAAAATGATTGGATTACCACAAGCACTGTAAAACTGCTGAGATACATTTCAAATACTATCGCACTTGAATTTCAAATAATTAATTTCTCCATGAGGATTTGCAGGTGACAACCTTTGCGGTGGTAACCAAAGTGTTTAAGAATGTAATTATTAAGTAAGGGAATGATTTCAATACTTAACAGAATTGAATGTAATAGTTGTATTTATAGCTTTATTCTATCACATAAGACATACATTTTTGGTGGTTTGTGTGATGTTAATGTTTCTTTTCTAGTTTTTGTCAAGCACTTTGAGTTGCCTTGAGTATGAGCAATAGGAATAAACTTGCCTTTCCAAATCGCATATCACATGTAGGCCTTTTATGAATAAATGCATCACGGATAAGTACCTTTATTTAACCTGCTTTTAATGGCGCCATGTACTAAATTATTTCTTGGGTTGTGCTGCCATCTGGTGGTGGAGTAGAAAGAAAATAAAACCAAAACCACTTTTGACTTTCTATGCCTCCGTCGTTGCCATAAAATAACAGTATTAAACTATTCCCACAAGTTTATAATAAAAAAAAAATATATGTATATATACAATATATATATTTTATATATATCCACAAACGGACGGCTTACAATACATTAAAAAAAAACAACATTGCACACAATATATAAAATACAGACTAAAATACATTTAAGATATATCTTTAATTCATAAAATTATTTATATATTCAATTTCTTTAAATATATAAATGAACTTTTTTGAGCGATATGTTTACCGCCTGTAAAACCCAAGCCACCTGAACTCATGACTGCAGAAGTGTGATCACTGAGATATCAAACCTGATTGTTGTTTGCTTAGAGTGTAAAATACAGCTGCGGCATTCAGTTTTTGACAGCTGCAGAGGACACTCTGAACAAATCACTCTTTGTTTGTTTGTTTATTCGGTCATACAAATTATCATTATTTAGACATAAAAGACAATCAAAAGAGGACAAGGTTACAAAAACAATGAATCTTATGTCAGTAATGTACATGCTTTCACATAGATTTACAAACGCAGTTGTGACCGAAGGGATTAGGCTGAAGTATAATTTATTTTTGCCTAATCCAATTCATTAAGTAAAGTCTCCAAAGTATGGGGAAAAAAACCCTTTTAAAATAGAAGCCAAACTAAAAGTCAAGATCAGGAGAACATTTTAATAATAAAAGAAACAATAGGATGGAAAAATATAAATAATTTGAGAAAACACATTTTAATATTTTAACAACAAAAGCAAACAGCAAAAGGCTGTCATAGAGATGTAGGAGAGCTGCTAGACCTATCATTCTTGGGCTTGGTAATTACTTAAAATATTATGTTTAATATTATTTTTAAACGTCTTCAATGAGTAGGAGTTTTTGATTGCGTCGTCTAAGTTGTTCCATAGTCTCACTCCTCTGACCGAGACACATCTGCTTTTTTTGTTAGTTCTTGCCTTATTTATTTTGAAAATCCCTGTTCCTCTGAGATTGTAACTACAATCTCTATGTTCAAACATATTTTGAATATTGGGTGGAAGATTATTGTGCTGAGCCCTGTATACCACAGCCAGTGTACTCACATCAACAATATCATACATTTTTAATGTTCTTAACTGGATAAAGAGAGGGTTAGTCGGTGCGTAGTAGTGTGTTTTAAACACAATTCGTATGGCCTTCTTTTGAAGTAGAAAAATTGGTTCAATATTTGTTCTATAATTGTTTCCCCATATTTCAGCACCGTAACTCAAATAGGGAAGAATAAGGGAGTTATATAACAGGTGGCGTATTTTTGGTTTAAAACATGTCTCAATTTACCCAAAATTCCAACATTTTTTGACAATTTCAATTTAAGATTATATAAATGCTGCTTCCAGCTGAGTTTTCCGTCAACAGTAATTCCTAGGAACTTGATTTGTATCTACTTGTTCAATTTCTTTGCCATTGATCTCCAGTTTAATTTGAGTGTTATTTATTTTATTTCCAAATATTATATATTTTGTTTTTGTCAGGTTCATGGAGAGTTTGTTACGGTCGAACCATCCTTTTAGGATCGTCAGTTCTTGCTGAACTATATCAATGATGTCATGCAGACTGTTTCCAGAGTAGTAGAGGCTGGTATCATCAGCATACAATAGGCATTTACCTTTATCCAATATCTCACAGACATCATTGATATACATAATAAATAATTTATGTCCCAAAATTGGGGCGACAGTAGCTCAGTTGGTAGAGCATTGGCCTTAAGCCCAGAAGGTCGTGGGTTCAATTCCCACCTCTGCACCTTCTCCACCGACTCCCACTGATGACTGCTGTCGTTGTGTCCTTGGGCAAGACACTTAACCCCACTTTGCCCCAAAGCCCCCACTGAAAGATCAAGGCTATGCTCACACTCCTGTGAGCAGCCGTCCTCCTGTGGACTCACCACCTGCAGAGGGTCAGTGAGGGGCTGGTGCTATGAGACTTGGGTGGCATCTCTGACTGCCACCACCCCCTGACCCAGAAATGGATTAAAGGGAAGAAAATGGATGGATGGATGGATGGGTCCCAAAATTGAACCTTGTGGAACTCCATGTGTTATGAGCTGTTTATTTGAGTTGACATTATTTATATGGACATACTGGTCTCTTTTACTTAGGTAACTTTCCACCCAATTGTGAGCAATTCCCCGGATACCGTATCTGTGAAGCTTCTGAAGAAGAAGTGAGTGGTCTATGGTGTCAAAAGCCTTACTTAAGTCTATAAAAACACCTACAGTATGTTCGTTCTTATCAATTGCAGTAGTAACGTCTTCAGCAAGAGCCATGACCGCCATCGTGGCAGATCTGTTAGTTCGAAAGCCAAACTGATTGTCACTTAACAAGTGATATTTTTCAATAAAATTGTCCAGTCTGTTAACAAATAGTTTTTCTAAGATTTTTGAGAACTGTGAGAGGAGTGAGATAGGTCTGTAATTTGTGAATAGATGTTTATCACCACTTTTATAAATGGGAATTACTTTTGCTGTTTTCATTTATTCTTCTACCCCTCTTAAAAATAAAGAGTTGGAATTCTGTTTAACTAAACTAACTAAATTTCCTAAAAACTATACTAAATTTACTATTATTTTGAATTCCACCAGCCAATGTAGGTCCTACCTTTGTAAAAAAGTCATTAAAGGCGTCTGCAATTTCACTTGTACAGGTGTTTTCATGATTATTAATTATAAAATAATTTGGAAGTGCATTTTCTTTTTTCCCATTCTTAATTAGACCATTTAGTATTTTCCATATTCCACTGATATTACTTTGATGATGTTCCAGTAATTTGTGATAATAATTTTCCTTATTCACTCTGATTATATTAATTAATTTGTTTTTGTATGTTTTATATTTTTCTTCTGCGACTTTATTTCTATGTTTTAGGTATAATTTATAAAGATTGTTTTTCTTTTTGCATGCATTTAATATGCCCCGAGTAATCCACGGCTTATCTACTTTATATTTGGTCTTTTTTTGCTTTAAAGGACAATATTTGTCATAGAGTTTGGTTGTAATAGCTGAAAAGGCATCATAGACTCTAGTGAACACAAGCCACAAAAAAGGTTATTCCAACCTCAAATTAAGGTAACTGTCATGTTATAAGCCCAAAAGAAGCAAGCTGTAAAAAAAAATAATAATAAAAAAAAACATACACAGCAAATCTGCTAAACAGCAAGGTTATCTGTATTCTAGCGAGGGACCACTGTATACCTCTAAATATGTTCTATTCTTGTCAGGATGAGCAGTTATGATTGCAGATTAAAACATCATAAAACAAAAACCTGACCTTGAATGTATATGACAAGAAATGTAAATAATATTTATTAAAGCTTCATGTCCTTAGGTCTGGTGTGATCCACTCAGCGACCATCTCCGCCACATCCACAGCCGCGTCCAGCACAAACGCGTGACGAAAGCCCTTTTCACACAGTCTGAAGTCTCCGTGCGGAAAGTCCCTCTTCATATCATGGTAATATTCAACCGGGCACCAGTGGTCTGTTGCTCCGTAGTACATTATGAGCTGGAAAAAAAACAGGGCGTTTTGTCTTTCCTATGATGTCATAATAGTATTGGTAAAAAATAAAAATAAAAAAAGTCTATAGTATTTGCAATATTTGACATTAGAATTTACAGAAGCAACTATATAAACATTCATATTCTGAGTAGAATATACATGCATGTGAAAGCTAATAATTAACCAATCTGTTTTGAGAGCACATAATTTAAAGTGATCTAAATGAATTACAAATTTTAAGAATTGTATTAATTTGACCTCCTGGCCTTAAAGTAGCGTTATGTAATATTTGCATGTCAAGTCATAATTAAAAGGCCCCACTATTTCAAAGCATTATTAAATCATGCTCTTTCCAAATACATCTGTAACTAATAACAGTAGTTCAGCCGAGATATTTGAAAATCAAAATTAGTTTTACGACCCGTAAAAGTTGTTATTGTTTTCATTTTGATGTCCCACCCTCCGCCGTTTCACCAGTCAGAAAGTCCGACATCTGGGTTGCCTCAACTCCCCGCGGCTAGCTAATCTCAGCGGTGAAATAACGTGGCCGCAGAACTAAAAAAGGTCTTGTTATGATTCTCAAATCATTAATGACAAAAGAAAGACTAAAACGAGAATTTATATCAGGAAGCCTTTGAAAAATTGAGACAGTGGATAAAAACCGTTTGTGTGATGCAAAACTTTCTGCCTTGAGTGCGTTCTTCATTGACAGTTAAACTACGTGCCTCGATGTTACTTATTGTTGTATGCAATGGTGGTGTAGTGGTTAAGGCATATTGCTGTCGCCCCAGAGACGCGGGATCGTATGTGGGAGGAATTTTTTGGTATTTAATCATAATATCACTTTCTATGTGAATTCTCAAAAAAACGGTGAAAGACAAAAATCAAGAGGTTTTTTTGCAGATTATAGCCTAATTGTAAAAAGAATCATTTGAGACCATATGTATCCCAATTAAAATAACTTTAGTCTCTTTTTGATGTGGGACTTACACATGTCTAAAAAATTGGGAATAAATAAAATTGAAAAGTGATATCCTCTGGAGCAAACCCTGATGTTGATACGCTGAAGAAATAAGTTCCAACATCCATTCTTCCCACTCCTATTTTGGATATCAGTTGCATAATCGATGCATAAGTAAATTGCTTTTATTTTGTTTGTTTTTTTCTTCATCTCAAATGTCCAATAAAGAATAAATAAAAAAAACATTGATTCAACATTAGCACGGCTATCATGGCAATGTGAATGGAGACAAACAACTGATAAAATAATTCCTTGTGTATCTAACAACCTGAGTTGGAGAGGACTACAAAATATTGACTGCAGTACCACTTTTGGCCAGATTTTTACATAATGCTCCTTTATATATTGATATAAAATAAGTCACTTTATGAATTATAATATTACGGGTAAGTCCCGCCTTCCCTTCTCTTAGCTCAAAATCCACAATGCCGTCCACTTTAACCAATCAAGTGATGCCAAGGGCTGACAATCATCGCGCTGATGCTTGTAGCTGCGCGCATAGTCAGTTGTTTGTTTTCACGGAGCCTCCGAATCAAGCCTACATTAGGCTCTGAAACTACATCTGCGCAGAGTTAACCATTTACAGTGCCTTGCGAAAGTATTCGGCCCCCTTGAACCTTTTAACATTTCGCCACATTTCAGGCTTCAAAAATAAAAGATATAAAATGTTAATTTTTTGTCATGAATCAATAACAAGTGGGACACAATTGTGAAGTGGAACAAAATTTATTGGATAATTTAAACTTTTTTAACAAATAAAAAACTGAAAAGTGGGGCGTGCAATATTATTCAGCCCCTTTACTTTCAGTGCAGCAAACTCACTCCAGAAGTTCATTGAGGATCTTTGAATGATCCAATGTTGTCCTAAATGACTGATGATGATATATAGAATGCACCTGTGTGTAATCAAGTCTCCGTATAAATGCACCTGCTCTTTGTTAGTCTCAGGGTTCTGTTTAAAGCACAGAGAGAACCATGAAGACAAAGGAACACACCAGGCAGGTCCGAGATACTGTTGTGGAGAAGTTTAAAGCCGGATTTGGATACAAAAAGATTTCCCAAGCTTTAAACATCTCAAGGAGCACTGTGCAAGCAACTATATTGAAATGGAAGGAGTATCAGACCACTGCAAATCTACCAAGACCCGGCCGTCCCTCCAAACTTTCATGTCAAACAAGGAGAAGACTGATCAGAGATGCAGCCAAGAGGCCCATGATCACTCTGGATGAACTGCAGATAACTACAGCTGAGATGGGAGAGTCTGTCCATAGGACAACAATCAGTCGTGCACTGCACAAATCTGGCCTTTATGGAAGAGTGGCAAGAAGAAAGCCATTTCTCAAAGATATCCATAAAAAGTCTTGTTTAAAGTTTGCCACAAGCCACCTGGGAGACACACCAAACATGTGGAAGAAGGAGCTCTGGTCAGATGAAACCAAAATCAAACTTTTTGGCCACAATGCAAAACGATATGTTTGGCGTAAAAGCAACACAGCTCATCACCCTGAACACACCATCCCCACTGTCAAACATGGTGGTGGCAGCATCATGGTTTGGGCCTGCTTTTCTTCAGCAGGGACAGGGAAGATGGCTAAAATTGATGGGAAGATGGATGGAGCCAAATACAGGACCATTCTGGAAGAAAACCTGTTGGAGTCTGCAAAAGACCTGATACTGGGACAGAGATTTATCTTCCAACAGGACAATGATCCAAAACATAAAGCCAAATCTACAATGGAATGGTTCACAAATAGACGTATCCAGGTGTTAGAATGGCCAAGTCAAAGTCCAGACCTGAATCCAATTGAGAATCTGTGGAAAGAGCTGAAGACTGCTGTTCACAAACGCTCTCCATCCAACCTCACTGAGCTCGAGCTGTTTATCCAAGGAAGAATGGGCAAGAATTCCAGTCTCTCGATGTGCAAAACTGATAGACATACCCCAAGCGACTTGCAGCTGTAATTGCAGCAAAAGGTGGCGCTAAAGTATTAGCGCAAGGGGGCCGAATAATATTGCACGCCCCACTTTTCAGTTTTTTATTTGTTAAAAAAGTTTAAATTATCCAATAAATTTCGTTCCACTTCACGATTGTGTCCCACTTGTTGTTGATGCTTGAAAAACTTTTTTTTTTTAATATATCTTTATGTTTGAAGCCTGAAATGTGGCGAAATGTTGAATACTTTCGCAAGGCACTGTATATACTGAACCTATATCCATAATAAGATCCTCTGCAGATGTGTCCTATAAAACGTTCAATCATTGTTAATAGCTACTTCCGGGTTTACCGCGATCAATTATTTTGTGCATTAAAACATTTTTGTCAAGAAAACGTTAACAAATAATTCTGAAAACCTACGTGCATGTGTATTAATAATGTATAATTACAATGTGTTTTCCGAAAACATTTAAATGTGTTGATTGATTGTTACGGAAACGTAGGCGTAGACCAATCAGAAAGGAAGGGAGCTTGGGTCGTTTTTTTCAAATCATGTACCTCTTTCTCTTTTTTCTGACAAACTCCAGACAATCACTTTAACAGACATGTCCCATTGTCTGTTTCATGGTGTGATGATGGGAGTCCTGAATCCAGTCCCTTTTATGCAACTGTGGATTGGTCTCCCCGGCCCAGACTTGTGGGCTGCAAACCCCTCCCCATCTGGAATTTGGGAACCTCTTCAGTCCTGCACCGCAAAGCCTTAGTCCTAGATCTACAGCCTGCGTCCTGGATCAATAGGCTTTCTGTCCGTGGGAACCAATCCCCCCCACTCAATGTGGGCCTACCCAAGGTTATTTTCAGTTGTTCCTTGCAGGAGGGTCTATGCACGAGGGTCTAAGTGATAGGGTAAGTGATAATCCGGGACATTTAAGGACATTTATAGTCATTTTGCTCCCTATGGACCAAGGTCTCCTATGTGTTTGTTGTTATGACATTTCCTGTGTTCGAGCTGTTTGATTCTCTGTACTGTTGTTGGTAAATCAACTACTTTGTAAAGTCATCCGAGAAGACTGCAGTTGTGATTTAGGGCTATACAAAATACCCATCCATCCATCCATCCATTTTCTGCCCCTTAATCCATTTCTGGGTCGGTGGGGTGGTGAGCTGCACCCAGTACACAGAGCACCAGCCCCTCACTGATCCTCCTGCAGGTGGTGAGGCCACAGGAGCCTTGATCTTTCAGCAGGGGCTTCAGGCAAAGTGGGGTTAAGTGTCTTGCCCAAGGACACAACGACAGCAGTCATCAGTGGGAGTCGTGAAGTAGGTCTTGTGGTGGGATCGAACCCACGACCTTCAGGCTCTTAGGCCAATGCTCCACCAACTGAGCCACTGTCGCCCCAACCTTGCTCCATCCACGCTTCTGTCAAAATGCTGAAGTCTCAAAAAATGTTACGCTATAACATCATGTTCAGAGCCTTTTGCTGCCTTTTTGTATCACCTCAAAATGTTTAATGTAAATTATTTTTTATAACACCTTCCCCTGGTAGTAGATCTTCAATATAAAGATCCAAATATTTCTACCAAACAAAATGTGTAACATTCTAAAATATGAAATGCAAATTCACAAACCTTATTTAGATGTTTCGTAATAGTTGCATTGTCCCGTTCTAAAACTTTCTTCATTTCTTGACCTCCCATGTACATTGCATTAGCTGCAAAGAAAACAAAATATGATGAATATGTCATGGTTTAGGTTTATTTCCTGCTTTATTTTGTAGTTTGTTAAATACCTGTGTCTTCATTGGTTGTGCTGCCTGTTGTCTGATTACCTGCCCTGCCCTCATGTGTTTCACCTGTGTCTCGTTAGTCTTGTATTTAGCCTCATGTGTTCCTTCACTGCCTGTTCAGTCATTGTCATTCATGTCGGTTTAAGGTCTTGTTCCTGACCCATATTTTGCACTGTGGACCCCAGTTATATCTGCATTACTGCTAAACATTATAATCTGAAGCACTGTATGTCTTTGTTCTGACACATTAGCACAAATCATTAGTGATGGGTTGATGAAGCTTCATGAAGTGTTGAACTTTTCCATCCATTGGTTTGAGAAAAGGTTCATTTCTTGATGCTTCATATGCTCACAAACCCCCTGTTGGTCAAAATCTGTATTGACATTTGAACAGTTTGTGAGGCTCTTGCTGCATAGGAATTAATATTGGTAACAGAAATACAAATGTAATTTGATTGTGTACGATCCATTAATTCATCTCTTTGATTATGATCAATATCAGTAGTGATAACGAATATAAGATAAGATATGCTTTATTTATCTCACAAAGGAGAAATGTACATGTCACATTTGGCATGGATAGAAACACTCAAGATTGCACATTCCCTCTCTTTTTGCACAAACATGTTAAATGCAGGATATATTATGTACAATAAAAAAAAAGTGGCAATTTAAAAGTGGTAATCAGAAATAGTGTCAATAGTAGTGCAGGTTTTTTCAGTCTTATACAGTGATTTATTTTAAATGACAAAATTATAATGTACTGGTAACTGGTACAGTTGTCTGCTCTAATACACACACTCTCATTTATAATTTATATATATATATATATATATATATATATAAAATGACTGATTATAGCTTGTCAAAATCAATGTAATAAATCGAATAGGACAAAAGATTTATGTTGAAAGTGTAAGTGCTTTTCAATGGCTGTGACACAGATGGGGATATAAAATGGGATCATACTGTAGGCCTGGGCGATATGGCAAAAAAGAAATCTCGATTTTATTTCCTGCTTTGGACGATTGATTTTTTTATCGATTTTAGTCACCAAAGACAGAGTTTGCCCTTAAAAAGATTTTTTGATCTTTCCAGTCAATATTCAAGTTTCAAAACTATGTCTAATTTGTTTCCCCCAATTCTTATTATAAAAGTCTTGTACAGACTGTGCTGATATTGCAAATATGATTCATGTGCTGCTGGAACTCACAATATCCTTCATTCGATTTCAGTATTTTAACATTTTTCACAAATTCGATTTATTCAAAAGCTAATTAATTGCCTAAATTCGATGTATTACCCAGCCCTACCCTATCAGTTGTTTAAAACCAATAACTTTCGCAGGTATTTAAAAATACATTATGATGTGCTCCCAGCCAGATTCGAACCCTTGCCTGTCATACACCAGCTCTACATCCCTACCTACTGAGCTATCCAGCTGTATGACAATCCCTGTTCAATTAGTAAAAAAACGTAATCACTAAGACAAACCCACAAAGTCTGAGCGGATCCTCTGCAATACTTCATGAATCGCTCCATTTCCTGTACTCCCGAGGCTTCAAACGTCATTAGTGACGTCACTCACCTAAAATAAATCAGGCTTCGGCCCGCGCTCCACCAAAAACTACCGGGATTTCTCGGCTCACGCCTCGAAGCGCCGACGCAGCACAACCAATCACTACAAATCATATAAAAATCCTCCTTTTGTTTGATCTGGAGGGACTCGAGAATAAACTATGTACAGGTGCAATCGCCGCTGCCTTGTCTTTTCTCGACAATGGTCTCATTATTTCCTCATGAAGGTGTCTGCAAGTGGTAATAATATTACTATGGTAGTCTGCATAGTACTTGTCTTGAGTTTTGAGAAGGATTACTAGTCCTTCTTTTTTCAACCATAATATGTATTAGGAGTGGACTGACCGAGCGTGACATCACCATAGTGTCAGCCATTAATGCAGAAGAAGCCAATTTGAATATAAGCGAGCTGGAGCCAATTTCCTTACATGTGTATCTCTTAGCTGGGCAAGAGCTTTGCGCCATAACAGGGACATATGTTGCCACAACGTTTACTAAGGAAAGCTGGAGTTTCCCCACTAATGAAGGCTTCTGATTGGTCAATCCTTATATGGCTCATGGATTTCCGAAGACGATATCACAACAAAAACCCCAGTTTACCCACAGATTTGTAAATCCCAAAATGGTGAGTGGGAGGAGTTTACTTTTCAATAGAAGCCAGAGCGAGTTGAGGCAAAGCTTTGTCCATGAGCACTTCCCTATTGGGGTTCCATGGGGTTAGCATCGTCCATCCATTTAAAGTCTATGGTTGCAACACTGACACTTCCCCATTTAAGATAAAATAAAACGTTTTCTTGTCTCATTTTCTATATTATCTGTATATAAGATAAATATATATACTATTTCCTGTTGCACATCCTTCTTATCATCTGAACCCCAAGTGTGTGTGATCCTGACCTGCACAGTCTCCGCTCAGCAGCCCCACAGTGGGTTGGAGGATGGTGGGGTCCAGACCACGGATCCCCCCCAGCGCCAGTCTGACTAGGCCTTGTTTGAGAGGCTCTGGTAGCAGAGAGAGCAGGAAAACCGGGACATAGGCCAAATAGCGGAGGTGACAGATCAGAGGAGTCACTGCTCTGCCCTGAGGAGTCACAGCCATGCGCTCGATTGTGGGGAACAACATGACGGCTTTCAACACCTGAGGAAACACAACAAACTCTGTATAGGAAATGTAAGGTCACCAAAGGAAATAAAAAGGATTATATATTAGAATCAGGGCTGATTCTAAGCAAGCCTGAAGTAGTACCAACATTTTTTAGACCTGTATTTAAAAAAAACTTTTTATCTTGGAGCAGCTGACTAAATCTATTCCACTGATCTTTCCTTCCTGCTGCTGTCAGACTGTCTTAATGAACTTAGTAGCTACTACTCTTGAGCTGGACTGCTTGACTTCATAAAGAGCCAGATCCCTCGGGGTATTGTGAGTAGTGAGTATATTATCTTCACACCGACAAACTAGACAGAATCTGCAACACAGGCCTCATGATGTTCTGACCCGCTTCTGAGCATTAGTCCAACTACTACGTCTACAAGTTTCAACAAAACTTATGCAGGGGACAAGCATTAAAGATGCAAAACACACTTTTAGCTCTGGGTTCCTCCTGATCATTTCCAGGATGATGTAGCAGCCAATGGAGTGACCGATCAGGACGAGCCGTGTGTCTCTGGGTACTTGTTTTCTGAGGAAAGTGAGTTTGTGTTGGATCTGTCCATTTATCCCAAAAACGTCCAACTCTGCTGCTAAGGACGTATCTGCAAAAACATTGAGCAAGTGTTTGCATTTGGAACAAATTGATAAATTACATTACCCCAAGTAGAGCAGACTTTGTGACTTCTTCCCTGCTTGTGACAACAACATTTATAGTATCCCTTTACCTTATGTACACTTCTCGATCTTTCATTTTAATTTCCTTTATGTTTAATTTTTAATCTTTTTTAGTATCTTGGTTAACATTTATATGGACATAATTTATATACAAATGTTGAGGTGACTTAAGCCAGATACTATAATAAGCCAATCAATGGAAAAAATTTAAATACCTTGTGTTTGATGAAGAGAACTGTATCTGTTACACTTTGTTGTTATTTCCAAATAAAATACAAATAAAAAAGTCAGATTAGTCTTAGTTTAGAGCTATGTTTTCTGTAGTCTCTGGGCCAATCCACATCAGTCTCAAAGTTCCACATCTTCTTGTAAGAACATAAACTATGGTGTAATTATTTTCACATAAAAAAGGTGTCGAAGTGGTGACAATATTCAAAAACATATGCATGACGTAGAAAAGTTTGTGAACCTAATCACTATCAAATAACTATCTGGGAAATCTGGGAAACATTTGCAAAATCTCCAAATGTTTCCCAGATCGTTTTCAACATTTCTTTCAAATATTTTCTTTCACTCACTCACTCACACAGACACAGAGACACACACACAATCATTGAGTGTTTCAGACAGGAGCCCAATAAATGAGGCTTGTATTTGTTATACTATTCATGTGTTTTTATCATGTTGTGTTGTACCTTCCACCATGTCCATGTGGTCTGGGGGCTCACAGTGTCCCGCATGAGAGACGGCCCAGACAGGGAGGCGCTGCTGGAACACTCGGTGGAGCGTCTGCATGAAGGTGGAGTAAAAGCCAACCACTCCCGGATTACCTGTTCAGGGATTAGGAAGCATTCAAAATGAGTGATAATCTGCCTCAAACCAATATGTTTATGTGTAATCTGATAACACATACATATATCTAAAAATACTGCTTCAAAGTTTGTTAATACTGGGTTGATCAGCCATGCTTTTAAGTTAATTAATGCATGTTTAAGTGGTTAGCTGTGCTTATAAATTCATTAATACAGGTTTGTGCTTTTGTGTTTTATAGGTTTTAAAATTAATTATCTTTTGCCTGCAGCTGTGATCTTACCTGGAATTACAAGGATGAGTGTGTTGTGCTTGGATGGCTGTAAACTGCCACACTTCAGCACTTCGGTTATGGCCCCATTACAGTAAAGGAAATCTGCACTGGGTTTAAGGACGTCTGTCACAGAGCACCCCATATCTGCACACACAAGCACACACAAACACACAACATCACACTCCAAAGCATCACACACTGTCACTTTACTGTGTCACTTGGAACTTCTCAGCAAGAAGGTCCTGGGTTCGAATCCAGGTCGTAACAGGGTCTTTCTGAGTGGAGTTTGCATGTTCTCCCCTTGTCTGCGTCGGTTTCCTCTAGGTGCTTCAGTTTCCCCTACCACTAAAAATATGCGGCTTTGGTCCTGAGCAAGCCGAGTACCAACATTTGGAGATGGGTTCCCGGGTGTTGAACTACGGCAACCACTGCTCCTGACGTAAGCCCTTACTGGCATCAGGATGGTTCGTATGCGGAGGACATCATTTCCCTACAGGGACAATACATTTTTGGTATCATCACTGAATATTTGAAGCACTTATTACTTCAATATTCTTGCACCAGTGTATTACAGAAGTAGATATAGACGTTTACTTACCTTATCACTTATACATACAAGTACTAGACTCTTGTAAATAGGTTTATACTATATACCTTTATACTTTTTTCACTTTGTATGAGCTGAAGATGAAAAATGTTGTGATTATATGTTGTTTTGGGTGATGTGTTTGTCTGATCCTGGACCATGAGTCTGTAATACAATTTGATAGTGATGGAAGGATTGTATGTAAAAAGTATAGTGTTGTACTATACTTAAAGGGCCCATATTACGCTTTGACTTTTCTCTGCTTTAAACATGATTACAGCTATATACACATGCCCAGAGTAGTTTTTTCATTGATTCTGTCAAGCTTTAGTTAGAGAGCGATCTTTCTCCTTACCCCCTCGAGGAGGCAGTGAAACGCTCGGGTCCACTTCTGTGACGATTACACTCTGATGACGAATATGACACGCATAAGCCTGTTTGCCTTGTATTTAAAATGTTTTTTTAAATACTTTTGTCAAAACGGGGGAAAACAATACACAATAAGTATGCTGTTTGTTGTCAAAAATTATGAAAATAAAAATAATAGTAAAAGCCTGAGAGGTGATTGACAGATCGAAACAGCGAATCAGAGCGCGCAGCCAGTTCCCAAGTCCAGTGTATCTGTGGTTTGGTCCCGCGCACACCACATGGAGCTACCGTTTTGGGTCACGTCAACTTGGATAAATTGTGTTTTAGGTGTAAATATGTGACTCACACTTCATCTCATGGATCTATTATAATACCGGTTCATCTGCGACACTTCACTGAGAATGTTCCAGAACTACAGGGACAATGGAACTGGACTTACTGTTACTCAAAAGCTAATCTGGAAACATGTGTTATTCCCACAATAAAAGACGTAACACGGACCCCCCCGGATCTTTGAAGAGTGACGCTAACTTGCTGTATACTTCTGTAAACTAAATAATTAGGGTCTGATGTGCATCGAGGACATAGGGCTGGATGTGACGGATTGTCATTGTTGGAAAAAGTGTTTTCTTATGTCTGAAATGACTAAGTACCGGTGATAAACAAGTCAGAGCGTGAGGCTACGTCACCGTGCTGGTGGGGGGAGGCGGGCTCACAGAGGAGCAGACTCTTCTCTGAATCAGCCAGTTTGAGTTGAGGTGACAACCTCATTTTCACTTATCCTGTGTGCTCCTCATTCCTGTTCTGTAACTTGTAAAATATAGGATAAATTATCTCCTAATCTTAAATAAATATTTACACATAAAAACACTAAATTGAAGAGTCTTTAACAGACTTTTATTGAATTGCTTGATAATATACAAAAGCTGAGCATCAACATCTAGAGATGTGCCCCAGGCGCTGTACTACGGTGACCTGCTCCAGACAGAGAGCCCTGCGGGATTGAAGGATGCGTAAATACAGAGGACATACTTCCCTACAAAGACAATAAATGACCTAACTTGGCAATGTACGTTGTCCCTGTTCAACTAGATACATATACAACCTATGGTCACCTAATGTAACAATGACATGGTATTGCATTATAACTATTACAAGACTCACTTCTCATGTCACTCATGTTACAGTATTGGTGTTTCCTCCAAAAACATAATAGCCTTTGAATCTATGAATACTTTTTATGCCACACTGTGGACCATTCTATCTCCGTGGAATAAATAAAGTAGCAGAACCTATAGAATCCATAAGAGTTACATAGCATTCCCTTAAGAAGGATAATGTTGACCACAGATATGACTGAATAAAGTGCTTACCTGGCTTTGAACGCATAACGCATGAACGTGCTGAAGATTCCTCTTTCGTCAGTCTGATAACAGGGAGCAAAGGTTCAGCAGTTCAAATCAGCAGAGATAAAATGTCGCTTGCATCTCTAAAGGTAAATAAGAAACATATACGGATCCATTTGCCCTTTAAAATTAGCCCCATCACAAAACAAAGTTTCGTAATTTAAGATAAAAACCTAATAAAATAGAAATATCTCATAATAAAACAATGTAGGGGTAACTTTTTAGCATTGGTCAAAACTGTTATTCCTCAAAACATCTGCTGACGTTGTTTGTGTACCTTCAAAGAACCCGTTATGAATAAAAGTAGAAACTATTCAAAAAATAAGGCGAAACCTCCATGGTCAAATCGATCCGTGCTTCAAATAGATGGGGCAAATCCGTGCGACTTCCTGGTTTTCGTTGATATGCTCGTCTCTGATTGGTCAATAATCCGGAAGTAGCTAAAATAGGCATAAAAAGCACGATTCTATTTACCATGCATACAGTTTATGATAAAGAGTCTAAATCAAAATTATATATATATATACATACATACAAACACTTTTTTTTTCTTTTTATTATTTTTAACAAGCGAAGCTTACAGGCTCACATATCTCCATTACATTTTACAAGTAGTGCAGACATATACTATGTATATAGTACAGACTAGTAAATAACAAACAAAAATAAACAAAAAATACAAAGAGCCAACGTCAACAACGTGCAGCGACATTTCCATCATATTGTCATAAAGACTTAGGCTTGCAAAGAATCCTTCTCTTTAAGAAATACCAAAAATAAAGGTTTAGTACTGCCAAATTTACATTTGTGTATGAATCTTTTTGCAAATATAATAAAATTATTGATTGTGATTGATTTATTTTCCTTGTGTTCCAATATTGCTCCATATTTTATATAAGTGTAAGTTAAAGACAATATTCCCAATTTGTTGTTTGAGGTCCATGAACAGAAACTATCCCAAAAATGTTCCTGGGTTTCAATATTATTATTACAAAAGACAGTCATTTTCCCCAATATTAAATTTAGAATTAAAAAAATCTTGACATGGATAAACATTGTTTATAGTTTTAAAATGTACTTCTTTAGCTTTCTGTGGAACTGGAAATTTAACATAATGGATTCAATATCTTGACTTCTAAATTGTTGTACCAATTCTTGTCTTCTAATAGACAAAGGAAAATGTGTATTAGTAAGAACAGTTCTTAAGAATTTACTGTTTCATCTCTTGTCCCCAAGGGGGTGCTGCTGGACTAACAGATTGGGCATTATAGGGACAAGGTGTTGGTGTAGTAAAGATCCTTTTAAAATACAAATAATAGCTTGAGGAATTGAATGTATTACCTCTGAAAGATTGTACAAGTCATATTGTATTTATTATTGAACTCTTCAAAATTGAGCAAATTTCCTCGATCATCCATCAAATGCATTACTGACCATTTTCCTTTGTCCAGTCTTTGAGGTAAAAAGACTTATTTTGAATCAGGATGATTGTTCCATATTGGTTTATTATGGGGTTAGGGTTTCCAGTATTGTAGAACCTGTTCATGATATTTTGATAGTTTTATGGGCCGTTTAGATAGTTCAAAGTCAAATTGTAAAAGAAATTGAATGCCACCTACATTTTTGAATATTTTAGCAGGGAGTTGATAGTGTTCATGTGAGTTATATAATACTGTAACCATCTTAATATTAAAGCACCATTCATTGGATCAAAATCTACAGCATTTAAGCCGCCTCCCTCCAAGGACCTGACTATATCATTCTTTCGTATATAATAAGGTCTATTTGTCCAGATGAAATTAAAATTGTTATGGTTGATTTGTTTTATAACATTCTGAGGTATATTCATAGAATAAGCAGGATAAATAACTCTGGAGAGACCTTCCATTTTAGAGAGCAACACTCTACCGAATATGGACAGATCTCTCTGTAACCATATAATCTATTTTTAAATAGTCATACTCTTTTTAATAGCATAATTACGGAAGCTTGTTAGGTTCACTTGTGAGTGCGTTTTTTTTCCCGCTGGTATCATGTTATTTCATGATACTTTCATGAAATAACATGATAAATATCATGTTATTTCATGATACCAATTTATCATGTTATTTCATGATACCAGTTTATCATGAAATAACATGATACTGTAGATACAGAAGAAGAAGCTGTCAGCTTCTTCTGATAAATTGGTATCATGAAATAACATGATAAGTTGTGTATCATGAAATAACATGATAAGTTGTGTATCATGAAATAACATGATAAGTTGTGTTTCATGAAATAACATAATATTTATCATGTTATTTCATGAAAGTATCATGAAATAACATGATACGAGCGGGAAAAAAACACACTCACAAGTGAACTTAACAAGCTTCCGTAGAAATGAACACAGCACAGACGCATTGTTTTGTTGAGAATGACAAGTTCATTTACCAATCGTACTTACACGGCTCTTTACGATGCAGGATTTGTCCTTCAGCACCTTTACTCTAAGTTCCTTAACCCACAGACAGACGGAAAAGTTGCAGCATCAATGTTTTTCCAAACCTTCATTTGTTTAGCTGTGCAAAAGCTTGATTGTAACACTAAATAGTGGATTAGAATCTAAAGTGAAAATAATGACAGTCTAGACGTTACAGGATGTAAGTGACCCAGCGGAGGAATGGAGACTTATTAGCATTATTAGCATTAGCCGCAGTGCCAGTAGCTTTAACCTTGATATTACCAAAACATGTAGTGGAAAAATTCTGCCTTGTGCATATTGTTAGAATGATGAGTTAGAACGTTAACCACAGTAGCTTCAGAGTGTCATGAAATATCCAAAAAAGCAAAGAAATACTCGGAAGAGTCGCATTTTCTCCACATTTCAGCAGCAACTCTAGCTGGCCTGACCACTTCGTCAACCGGAACTTTATGCGTCAGGTGATTGTAGGACGTGATCCTTGGAGGAGGCAGTTGATGAGCCGCCTTATCCGTCCGCTCATCATACTGCCTCTTCCCCCAGCCAATCACACAGCATGTTGCATGTGCACGTTCTACGTCATGGTGCTACGTCCCTTAGGACTTCGCTAGTGGGATATCACTCGTGACCCCCAGGTCACACGCCAGAGAGATCAAAATAATTTGCTCCAATCACCAGCGACCCTCCTCTATAAAGGCCCCTGCACAAGGCCGCACCCCCTCTTTCACTCTGGCGCAGATTGAGATCTACCACAGTACTCGCTTCATTCTAGAGATGTCTTCTGTTCGTCCGAGTTCCCCTTCGCCCTCCGGCGTTGGACGTCGTCGTTGCTCGACGTGTCGAGTCAGGCTCCAGCGCACGGACCAGCACTCCAGCTGCTTCATGTGCCTGGGCCCGGGCCATGCGGCGTTGAGCGCTAGCTGCGCCTCGTGTCTCGCTCTCCCCAGGGAGGAGAGCGAACGCAGGCGTGCGTTCCTCGCCGCTGCAGCGCCCCGTCCGGACTCCTCTCAGGACGAGGAGTCTGAGACTGACTGGGCCCCACTCGACCTTCCACCCGTGCCCGCGGAGTGGGGTGACTGCGAGGATGAAGAGGCTTCGGAGATCGGTTCCCTCCTCACCCTGGACGAGGTGGTCTCGAACCCGGAGCCGGACCGCTTCCCACTGGACCACATGCCTGGGCTCTACTCCTCCGTGGCGGCCATCATGGATGCTCCTCTGCCACCGCAGCCGACCCAGAGGGCGGAGGACTTCACCTCTGGGCACGCCACCACTCGAGGGAGGAGGAGGATACAACCCACGTTGTGCCCGCGGATGGACCCGATCGTCCATTACGCGACACGTGAGTGGCCAAAGCCCCTAGCAGCCAAGAGGCCTGCTCTGGTTTACGGCATGTATTGCAGCGTGCAGGACTGGTCCTGGACCGGCGGGGTCCCGGATATCGAGGATTCGGTCCGCATGGCTCTGCAGCCCTCCGCATCCGTGTGGCCCGGCACCAGACCTCCTTCCCTCCGAGCGGGACAGGATATCGTTGGCTGTGCTGGACAGATGTTACGCCAATGCGGCACAGGTCGTTGCATTGGCGAATAACATGGCCTTCATCACGGGGGCCACTGGCCAGGCGCTCAGTGGAGACACCTTATCTCAGGCGAGGACCACCTCAGCGGCGATCCTGCGCATGTGCCAGGCGCTAGCTGTGGATGGCGGCCGCTCCATGGCAGCAGCCCAAGTCGGGTAATACAAAGTCACTGTCCCCCGAAGGGTACAGTAAAATGCACGGGCCCTCTCCCCGACTCTGGACCAAGAGGATGTTCCTGGACACTGGCAACCACCATGATGGCCGCCATCTTGTGTCCAGGGGGTTCAAAAAATTGCTCTATAGTAGAGTGTATGTGTAGGCAATAAAAATGATTCTGATTCAATTTGGACAAGTGTGAGATGTGTCTTTCCCCAAACAACACGATCCGTACTGAGCTGTTAGCTACAGTAGCAGAATGTAAACAGGAAGAGAAACGGATGATCAACCAAGACAACGAGGTCGTCGCTGGAGTTGGTATTAGCGCCACCAGCTGGACCGAGCAGTGCCAGGGTACAGCACAGTTACCCTGGCACGTTTGCAAATGCACATTCATGTGACCACGGGCCGTTTTCACACCCTTCTGGCGACAATCCGGGCCATTTGACCTAGTTCGCTTGTAAAAACCTATGTGACCATGCCATTACACACTCATTGAAACTCTCAAAGCAGTAGTCATGGGACAGTGGGATCGGTCCCTTCAACAACCACCAGTTTTGGACAATGGAGGAATCTCACAGATGTACAAATGCCGAGTCCAAACCTTGACGTTCTTGTGTGAGCCTCAGTAATATATGAATGTCTTTAATGTTTGATTTTCTAATATGCTATTGCCAACAAATTTGTGACATCCTTCAAGATAGATTGCTGTGAATACAAAAATAAATGTATATCATTATGCTGCTAATATAAAAACTTAAACCATTAGTATACATTTTACTTCAAACCCCTACTGACATTTTGCATAATGATTTACAAGGGACAACAGGCGGCAAGGATTCCCCTTGCCGCCCCTGGGCACAAGGACGAACACACAAGCAAGCGACCCCACAAAATGTTCTTATAGCACCGCTAGTGACTAGAGGTACCTACAGGCACGGCAGGGATTCGCCCTGCCGCTGCGTGTAGTCAGCACCACGGTGCTCTTCCCCGGGTCAGGTGCCTCCTCGGACCGGCGCCGCTCCCTCTCCACCACACTCCCTACCACAGACCAGAGCCAGTACTCAATATAAAGCGATCCACCAGCTGCTGGGGGCTTGTGGCTCTCCTGGCT